GTCTGCTCGGTTCTTTAGTGCTTTTAAGTCCTCTGATTGTCTCCTTAATTATTAGTACTTTTTTGAGAACTGGAAATGAGATATGAGAGCAAATAAAAAAAGACTTGAGAATTAAATTGAAATACAGAAATTCTCCATTACCTGCTATGTACAAAGGAGGCCCTGGTTACATACCATGTGTGTGATGTGGGTGCAAGTGTCATGGAAATAGAATTTGGAGTAGGGGAGACAGAATTATATACAAATTATTGTAATAAATACAAGCCTGGATCATGTGACATGTTATCATTGTTCATAAGACAACAGGGAAAAATAAGTACTGGATGGAAATGAGAAGACAAAGACTTAAATCTAATTTTTGTCACTTGCCAGTTATAAGAATGGATCAATAGAAATTTCAGACAAAGACTTAAATCTAATTTTTGTCACTTGCCAATTATAAGAATGGATCAATAAAAATTTCAACAGGAAAAAGGGGGTTCAAATAAGTGACTCAATGAGAGTACTTCTTTGAGAGATATTAAGGAGGGTGAGGATGGTAATGCACCTGGACACTATCAACAGTGAATGCTGATAATACAGCTGGAATTGAAGGACCAGGGGAGGAAAGAGTGGTACCAGACTTCAGTGAGAACTGGCATCATAGAAAGAGTATGGGGGTGAGCACTTTATAGGAGCTGTACTTGTGAAGAGGCACTGTTACTACCAGAATCCAAGGCCCTGAATATTAGGGGGAATAGAATAAAAATACCCTGACTCCATCCTTGGGCTTTTGGATCTTTGGCTGTGCCTCCTATCCACTAAGCCCTCCCAGAAACTAACCTACTGGGGAACCCTGAAGAGGTTCACAGGGACCTGTCAACCAGAAGCAAGGGTCTGAGGAAAGGAGATGAAGAATAACCACGAAGGAAGTCACTTGCTCTTCCTACATTTCAGTTTGCTTACCTGTGGTATTTATAGCATATTAATAGCTGATTTTATAATTTTTACTTCCAACCCTTTATTTTGAAAAAAATTCACACTTACAAAGAATTTTTAAGAATAGTACCATGAACATACACATACACATATATTATTTACCTACATTTATCATTTGTAAACATTTTTTTCTGTTCTTTTATTCTTTATTTTTCTTTTGCTGCCAACACGAACACACACACACATATACACACACACATTTTTTACTGAATCACTTGTGAGTTACTTAAATCCTGAATACTTAAGTATCATCTAAAAATAAAGATATTTCTCTATGTAATACAATGTCCAGACTCAGGATTAACATTAAATCAGTGCTATTATCACATACAGTTCATTCTCAGATTTTCACAAGATTCACGGATATGCACAGTCAAGGATCACACTTTGAATCATCACTCTTCCTGACTCCTCTTTAGAGTCATTTTCCAGCCTTTTTCTCTTATAATATTTTATGATTTTAACAGGTTTGAGGAAATGTAGTTCCAGGCCTATAGTAATGCAGACCATAGATGTGTCAGATTATTTCTTCTTTATCAGTTTAAATAATATTGGCAATAATACTATAGGGACAGTATGTCTTCCTCAATGCAGTGCATCTGGAGGTACATGATATCATAATGTTTCATTATGGGTGATCTTCAGGTGGATCACTTGATTAAGTTAATTATCTTTTCTCGTTTGTAATTAGCAAATAATCTATGGGGGTTCTATACGTGAGTATATCTTTTCCACCAACATTCTTTCATCCAGTGGTCTTTACAACCATTGAATTTTCTTGATATGACAGAAATTGTTTCATAAAAGCACAATTAGGGAACTTAGTAGGATTTTTAAAAAAGTTCCTGTTACAAAACTCATTTCTTCTTGTGTTAAACTGTTTTCATTCATTTATCTATTCTTCTAACAAATGGGTACAGAGTGTTCATTTGATGACTTGGACTGCCAAATTTTCATCAGTAGCTTTATGGTTGCTTAAGCTAATATCTTCAGATATTATCTCTTGGTGCTCCAGATTCCTATTGGCAGCTGCTTTTGGATCTCTCCACAGATACCATACATTCAACATGCCCAAATGGAAGTCATCAGGTTCACGTCACATGCTTTCTATGTTCTAAATCCCAGTAGTTCTGTCTTCTCAGCAACTCTGTAATAGGGAAGGATTCTTCTATGTTTGAGTGCCTAGACATCATACGAGACCTTTTCTACATGTGACATGCATTATCTAAGCCTTTACTTTAGGGTAGTGATTAAGAGAACCATGGGCTTCAAATCTTGGTTCCATCAACTATTGTAGAGGATTGAATGAGTCATTTTAACTGTCAATGTCAGAAGGGAGGGGGCAGGGGGTTGGCAATGATGGTGGAATGTGATAGACATCATTATCCAAAGAACATGTATGAAGACATGAATTGGTGTGAACATACTTTATATATAGAGATATGAAAAATTGTGCTCTATATGTGTAATAAGAACTATAATGCATTCCACTGTCATGTATTTAAAAAATAAAATCAATAAAAATTAAAACTAAAAAAAATAAAACAGGGAAAATAATGACTCTTTTCTTATATGGGTGTTATGAGACAAAATTTTGCAAACATTTGCTCAGTTCTTGACAGCACCATAATGCCTCCCAAGACATAAATCTGTGTCACCCTAAATTTATCCTTCCACTCACTGATTTACAGAGCAGTCCCTTAGGGACAATATCTCCATAGCTGCCATTACCTTAGTTTAGGCCAGGGGTTGACAAACTATAACCCATAGGTCAAATCCAGCCTTTAGCTATTTTTGTAAGTTTTATTAGTATGTAGCCATGCCCATTTTAGAAAGTATGATCTACGGCTGCTTTCGCCCTGAAGTGGCAAAGTTGAGAAGGGGCAACAGAGACTATATGGTCTATGTCATAATATCTGGCCCTTTACAGAAAAAGTGTTCCAACTTTTGGTGCTTGGGGTACCAGTAGTTGCCTTCCTTGTTTTCTTGGTTACATCTTTTTTGGGGGGGAGTATCTGGGACTGAACTCAGGGGCTCTTATCCATTGGGCCACATTCCCTAGTTACAGCTTGTTCCTTCTTGAATCCACCCGCTCAAGCTTCCTTTCTGTGCAAGGAGGAATTTCCTAAAAATGAGAACTCAACTGTGCCAATTTGCTCTTTGGGCTTCAAACTGGCCCTCACTGACTGCTAAGGACATCAGCTTCTACCTACTAGTTTTGTCCTCTGGCTGTCATGAGCTCTTCCTGTCCTTTTCCAACCTTAGCACATAGGCAGGCTTGTCCTTAATAATTAGCTCAGGAAGAATACTTTCCTTCCTCTAAGAAGCCCTTTCTGATGTCCTCAAACCAAACCAAAAGCTTCCACTCCTCTGTGTCCAGTACAGTACCTCAAATCTAGCATTTCTCCCAATCTACTACAATCATAGGTTTAGCTGTCATTGCTGTGGGCTCCTCCTGAGGGCAGGAATATATATTTTCCCCTTTTAAATCTCCGGTGCCTTGCCTTGGGTCTGGCCCTTATTCCGTGACCATCAGGGCTTGCAATTGCTTGTTGGCATTTGGCTGAAGTTTGAAGAGGCAGGCCATGAGAAGCTTCCTGAAGGAGGTGACAGCTTAGTAAGTACTGGAGAATGAGAAGGAGGGGAAAAGGAAATAAGGGGAGAAGACAGGCAGTAGGGAGCTGGAGTAGAAGTGATGATCCTTGAAAGAAGCATGTTGGAGAAATGAGAAGCAGAGGAAGGGGGCATGTGAGGTAAGGCTGGAAGATAGGCTGAAAAGGGAAGCATTAGGTTCCTGTTCTACAGGAGCCTCCTGTGCTGAGGTGGGAGGAGAACAGGAAGCCACGGAAGAACTGCAGTTGGCAAATGCCATATTGCGTGTTGTAACGGTCTTTTCACAACAAGATTGTTTTTGTCTTGTCATCAGCCCATCCTAAGTGCACACAATTCCTCACATGTTATAGGTTCTCAGTAGATGTTTCCTTCATCATTGAAATGTATGAATGCTCCCCGGATTGAAGGAGGGAGTCCTCAATGTTTTAAGTATTCTAAACAATGCATTTGAAATATTTAATTTGTTAATATAAAATACTTAAATATTGTAAATGTTAAATATTCTACAAATTTAGCATCCTAAATTAGATTTCCATCTAATAATTTATTAGATGAAACTTTGTCCCATCAAGCTTTTTTTTTTTTAAATATCTTTATTTCTTTATGTGATGTTGAGGATCTAACCCAGTGTCTCATACATGGTAGGCAAGGGCTCTACCACTGAGCCACAACCCCAGCCACCCCCCCCCAATCTAGCTTTTATAAGTCTAAGAATTGAGGTTGTATCTGTCCTTAGCTTTTGTATTTTATGTTTAAAAATTCTTATTAGAAAAAAAAAATCTATCCTCTATGGAAGTTTTTAATTTCTTAGATCATTTTGGCTAACTTTTTCTGGACTTTTCCAATTCCATTTTGTCTTCAAGTAGGCTTTTAAGAATATCTGGATTATTTCCTAATCTGCAAAACCAGAGACAATTTTTCCTGCCTCTTTTTTGGTTTATTTTTTGTGATTTTGGTATTTTCTTTCACTAAAGTGCTAAGTGGGATTAGGTGAAATAAATTCTTATTTGTAGAGTATGCCAAAGGATTCTTTAAAAAGATGGTGCCTCACAGACTGAAAGCAGAGTTCTTATTAATGATGTCCACAGACAAATTCTGTCCTTAGCTCAGAGGGCCCACAGCTTAGCAGTGTGGGATTGCCAGTGAAATGACTGGGCTGGTAAGATGGATAAAATTGGGATTTAGGGGGACCCTGCTCTCCAGGAAATTCTCCAAGTCTTAACTTATCCAGATCCCTAAAGTGAACATGAAGCTTCAGTTTCAAATTGAATACATTTTTTTTCCATCCATGGATTGGCTTGTTTTGTTCAGTTTTACTTTGAGTATTTGAGGTTGTCTTTTCGACGTAGTATTAAACCCACGACTTCCTTTCTCGTAAAACCAAAACAAAAAGGCTTTCTATTCAGGCGCCTTCTGGGTGTGCACATGTGTGATACACACCTGGGATCAAAGCTGTCTATAAAAAGTCCTTGAATCTGTGTGGGTTCAAACATATTTCAAAGCTTCAGGATCCTGAAAGGTCTCACTCTGCTTCCTAAGGACCTGGACATAGCTCCTGTAAAGCAATGGCTTGCCTTGGATTCCAGAGGCCTGAGGCTGGCTTGGAGCCAGCTCCCAGTGCCTGGTCCTGCACTGCCCTGCTTTCTCTTCTCTTCATCCCCATCTTCTCCAAAGGTGAGTGGAGATTTCTGGAGCATGAAGGTGGAGGAGGTGTTTCTCCCACCTGGGTTTCATTTCTTTCAGCAGTTCAGGGCAGTGATTTATAGCAGAAACAAAAGGTAAAGGTGAATCTCCTGTCCCCCGGCCGGGGTGGCTCTGTGTTCCGAGGCAAGCAGGGGACAGCTGGAAGCAGCCAGTAAGCAAAGCTATAGCTCATTGCAGAGTACCAGGTTTTTAGCAGGGGCTGAATGAACACATGTGAGTTGGTTTGGGAGACACGGTCCATTTCAGACACTTCAATAACATTAGGAAAAAAAATACTCTAAAATTCAATGATTTAAAAGGGAAAAAAACATCCAAAGTCCTAAATGCATGTGAGCTTGGTATCAGGGAATTTCAAGATTTCCCTCTTATAAAAATGGATTTAGGCAAATCACAGGAAGTGTTTCTTTCCTATACAATTCAAAGCTTTAAGGTCTTTTAATTCATTAATTTTATACGCTAATTAGCTAACTTGTTTAAAATTTAAGGAAATTTTGGGAAGAATGCCTTCATTATTCAATTCAAGGTCCTAAAGCAGATCCTGTTGATTTTATTAACCAGTTAGCCAATTATTTATAGGGTTTTTTTTTTTTGCCAATTTTATAAAATAAAATAATTAAAAATGAAAGAAGCAAGGAAGAAAAAAGGGAAAAGGGAAAAGAGAGAAATGTAGGAAGGAAATAAGGAAGGAAGGAAGTCATCAATCTTGTTTGGTGTAAGATGCTCAATTGCCTGACCTACATGTGCATTTCAGAGGCAGACCTTTAGTTTCAGATAAAATAAAGCTCTTTAGAGATCGGTACCCAGTTTGTTCCATGGCTTGAACTGATGAGTACTTCCATTGAATCTCAACTTTATCTCTCTCTCTCTCTCTCTCTCCAGATATTTTTAGTTAAGAAAACTGTGTGGTTAGTATGAAGGAGGTACTCAAAAGATATTTGATGATTTAAATTTTATTGGAAACGAAATAGTCATGTACACTTTCTTATTTTTTATATTTTGAATATGTTGAGATTAATGCCATTGGAAGTATTTCAATTTCCTTTTTAGGAAATTTATCTCATCCTGTAAATAGGCTCCTCACATGTTGGATAAAAATGTGACCAGATTTAGTGATGATAAGGACAAGCTCACCTGGGGGAGGGCAGGAAATTTGGTCCTGTTTAGGCTTGGAGTTGATACAATCAAGAGTTCATTGGGCAGTATATACCTACTGCTCCCAGACACTGGAGGCAGAAAAGAGGGGAGATATGATTAGCTCACAAAAAAGTTAATTTGGGGCAGAACTTCTTAAACACTGCAGTGGAGTTACTGTAGGGCAAAGGATGCTCAGAGGGCATCTCTGATAGGAAGAAATAAAGTTTGGGAAGGCAACTCTTGTCTTATCAGCTAGGGATGCTGGAATAGCAATGGTAATGGCTGCTGCCATATTGTTGTCTTTCCTGAGGACAAATGTTGTCCTGTATAGGTGCTTGGGGGAAGGGACTAGTTTGTCTACTACAGGGTGATTTATAGACAGAAAAGGGTATCTCAGAAACTCCAACCCCAAATGGAAGATTGGAACTGCATAATGGAGGACATTGAATGTTTTTTAATTTTATTTGCTTTTGCAATCCATGTTAGTAAAGCATCAAAGTGTTTGAGCTGATGAGTGAATGACATTGCTTAACTTAAATTTTGGGTATCACTTTCAATATTGACTGGAGAGAGGCTTTATTAATTATAAAAAGGCTAATTAGACATAAAGCCACTGTTTTTTAGATGTTGGAAGCCTCTTTGTATGGAGAAATGGCCTCCCTTATCTTGTAGAAGAAGAACAAAAGAGTAGGAGAGCCTTCAAGTGAAGGAGAGAGGGAGGGTGGAAGAGGTGGTGATAGTGGCCGGGGAAGCCCACAGAAATTAACAGCAGGGTTGCCTCAACCCAGAGAGGAAACGACCTGGTGCCCTTGGCTCTGTGGCTTCCTCATCTAACAGCACACGCCATGGTACAGCAATAAAGCCAGGGAAGAGGTTGGGCAGTGCAGCGAGGCCAGGTTCTGCTGCTCCTGGGTAGTAGAGGTACAGGGTCAGTTAGATAAGCAGCAGGAGGTTTTGAGGTGTGCTTTGAGAGATTAGACAAGATTCTGTGCTTCACCCTCCAGAAATTCCCCTACTACTCATATTAGAGTCGCTGAGCTGTGTAGTTCTATTATAACCTTAGGATTCTGGAGTATGTAGGCACTTTGATATTGTGTGGTCTACTCCCCATCTTACTATATGTGAAAAAAATGAAGGGGAGGAGTGACTTTCCAAAATGACATATTTTCTGATAGAGCCAGGTCTCTAACTTATCACATTAGCGCCCTTCTTGCCATGACTACCTGTCTTCAAGAAATTATATCCCATTGAGGACCCATCTTTAAGGGGCATAGCTGGAAGACGGCTGAGTGATGGAGGGGATGGATGGTGAGGGAGAGGGTAAGGGAAGGTGGTGGGCTTGTTGAAGGGGGAGCTACGGACTGGGAGGTGAAGCCGGTGGGGGCTCATCAAAGATAAACCTTGCCAGGTGCTTGGATTAGGCCAGGGATGCACCTGAGTTCATTGAGTTTCCTTTGGCCTTTCCATGTTAGCGATGCACGTGGCCCAGCCTGCGGTGGTGCTGGCCAGCAGCCGGGGAGTTGCCAGCTTTGTGTGTGAGTATGCAGCTTTTCACAAAGCCACCGAGGTCCGGGTGACAGTGCTGCGGCAGATAGCCAGCCAAGTGACTGAGGTCTGTGCCACAACGTACACAGTGGAGAATGAGTTGACCTTCCTAGATGACTCCAGCTGCACTGGCACCTCCAGTGGAAACCAGGTGAATCTCACTATCCAAGGACTGAGGACTGCAGACACCGGGCTGTACATCTGCAAGGTGGAGCTCATGTACCCACCACCATACTATATGGGCCTGGGCAACGGAACCCAGATTTATGTCATTGGTAAGCAAAGCCACTTCACCAAGTTGACACTTTGCATTGCTGTCTTTGTACAAAAATAGTTTGTTCCTTAATTTCAAGGTGATTCATTTTAGGACTATGAAAATTCTCCTTAAGTGTTCTCTCCCATACAATTTTGGGTGGTGACTTAAATATCTGAACACAAAAGCAGATGAGTTGGGGAAGGTGCTTTTTTCCTGCTAACAGAGTGATATAGTACTCACTCTGTTATATTCATCATGAAGTTTGGCCTTGTGCTTTTGATCTAACACTCTGAGGACGTAGTCATATCTGTGGGCTTACCAATACAATTTAGGGCTAAACTGCAAGATCTAGAAGCTCCAACTTCTTTTAACTCTTGGGGGAAGTAAGGCCTGAAAGTTTAAAACTATCTCAGGGAGGCTCTGCTTTGTTTTCTGTTGCAGAACCAGAACCATGCCCAGATTCTGATTTTCTTCTTTGGATCCTTGCAGCAGTTAGTTCGGGGTTGTTTTTTTACAGCTTCCTCGTCACAGCTGTTTCTTTGAGTAAAATGGTGAGTGTGATACTGACCAGGCTCCATGATTAATGGGGTCATCTTCAGTGTTATCTACTGACCAAATGTTGGTGTCAGGTTCAATTTAAAAAAAAAAAATATATATGAAGCAATAAATGAAGAAGAGGAAGGACAGTGGTAAAGAACACACTAGCACTAAGCATTGGCCTTTGAGGTTTCAGGATGACTAAGATTGCAGATGAGTGTGTTTGACATTGAATGTTTGTGTGCTTCTGAACAGGGTTTCAGTTTGAGTAACTGAACAATATGGGGCAGCTGTTTTGTTCTTTACCTTCATGACATTTGTACTTGAGTTAATAACCCTGAAATACTTATAGATTATGTCGGGCCACATGTTGCTAGTGAGGATCACCTGGATGGGTTTCTATTCTCCTCCTAAATGTCCTGTATTTCGCCTGGAAACCATATTCTGGTGCCATACTTATGCCCTCCTTGTCTGAGCTGTAGCTGCCTCTGTTATCCAGTCTAACATACATAGATGTCTTGGTCTCCAGTTCAGAAAATGAAAGTCCCCGTTATTATTTACTACAGTGGTTGATGGTGGAGGAGAGAGAGGTATGGAATCAGGACTCCTGTCAGGATTCCTAACAGTTTGTTTCAGTCACCTTTGCCTAAAGCTGACTTTCCCATCACAAATCCACTTTCTCTCCTTCTTTTTCCTCCTCCTCCTTCTGGTTCCCCTTTCCCTTTCCCTCCTCCTCCTCTTCCTCCTCCTCCTCTGCCTTCCCCTTCCCCTTCTCCTCCTCCTCCTTCTTCTCCTCCTCTTCTTGCTGTCCCCCTCCACCACACACATACGCACATGAAGACACACTATTCAAAGAGCCTCTACCCTACATGATAGTGATGTTCTGTTGTTATGGGCTCTTCCTGACTCATTTGCTACAAAGTACCACACAGACTATCAGACTGGACCTCATTTGACCAAGGTGATAAAAACCTGGGAACTAGTGCAGACAGAGAAAAAGTAATAAAAAGCATACGAGGACTGGAGATAAGACATGGAGCTCTTCCACAGGATAGGTAAACTTGATTATCTTATTAACCTGGTTCCTCCACAGACAAGATCTTGTCTATTATTGTAGGCATTCTGGGTGTTTTCTGTGAAGTTTTCTCAAAACCTGTTTTTTTTTTTTTTTTTCTTTTTTCCCTGTCTTCCAGCTAGGGAAAATGGCTGTTCTTTTATGTCAAAATTTCAGAATTACTTATCTAAAATGAAATTTAATAGCTGAATCAAGAGAATTTCCTGGACTTTCTAATTCTGTTCACAGTGAACATTCATTTTCATTGGGGTAGGGACCCCAATAGGTGCTGAGAAATATTATGGCTAGAAGTGGCTTCTATATTCTTTGATAATAATTACTGCTTCTTTTTGTGTTTGACAGTTGAAGAAAAGAAGCCCTCTTACAACAGGGGTCTATGTGAAAATGCCCCCAACAGAGCCAGAATGTGAAAAGCAATTTCAACCTTATTTTATTCCAATTGAGAGACCTTTGTGAAGAAAGAAAGACTGTATTTCAACTTCTAAGAGCTGAGACAATTTTAACTTTTTTTTTCCTTTTTAACTATCCAGCTATTTTAAAAAAATTTGTGGTGTATTCTGGAGAGGAATTTGCCTTGCTTTAACATAAAGCTGGATATAGAACTCACATTAAACATACTACATTTTAAATCAAAGGAGCAAGAAAATGGAGCCAAGATGTTTCTATCACATCAGACCCAATTTTAGCAAAAGAATCACTTGGGAGTGATGTGAGGATACAGCATTATGATGTGGGGATCAGTGAACTAAGGGAATGACAGTGCAAAGGGAGAGGACTAGACTGTACACACCTTGTATTTATGAGTGAGATGTTTGTAGCTGAAATGATCTTTAAATTTTTTTTCTGTGTTATTTCTCTTAGCAAATATATAATTACATGAAGTTTTTTTTTTTAAAAAAACATTCACTTGACTATATTTTAGCCAGTGATTCCAAAGGTTATATTGTACCAATATGTATTTTTTAAAATAGTATTGTGCATGAAGGTTACATGTGCTTTTGTGTATTTGGTAATGGTTTGAATATAAACACTATATGACAGTGTCTTCCCACTATGGGTTCTGGGGGAAGTTTGTGGAGGATCTCAGGACACTAATACACCAGGTAGAAGACAGTCACTTGCTAACTAGCTTAGAAACTAGGTGAGGTTGTGGCAGTACTCAGATGCACTAAATTGGTGTTGACATGAGCTTTGAGGTTTTATACCAGCTTCTTTCAGTGATTTATAAGGAAGCCAAAACTGGGGTATGTGTGTTAACCTGACAGGACACTGTTGTCAAGACAGTGGCTCACTCCAGGAAAGCCATAGGCATGACCTTCTAAGAAGCTCCAGTTCCAGGGGCCCAATTCCTTACAGATGCAGAGTTAATGCCACAGACAGAAGAAAGCAGCAGTTGGCAGAATGGGGTGCATGAAAGTTTCTGAAAACTAACATTGTTGGTGTTTTTTAACTCAATATTTTCCATGAAAATGCAACAACGTGTATAATACTTTTAATTAAATAAAAGTGTTTGGTGGTTGTTTTAAAGAGTTGTCTTTATCATCCTTGCATTTGAATGTTGTATGAGTTTGGTTTTGATTAGTTCACAGTGTGGTGTCTCCAATGTTAGAAGTACTGTGAAAAAAAAAAATAGAAAGAAACAAAAGGGAAAATAATGCTTCGTAAGTCAGCCTTGCACCAGTTAATTTCCTGCAAGCCATTTTGGGGAAGATTTCTTCCTTTTCCTTTTTGATTTCTCCGATTTAGGATATAATGTGGGTTAACACAGACTTAGTCGTCCTATAAATGTTACATGGCATGCTCTTTAACCCAGGTTTTTCACCTCCTTTTTCTTGCCCAGGGTTTTCTCAGCCCCACTCACACCTATTCCAGTTGCCATGGCAACTCCAGGATTGTCATTGTGCCCCTTGCAGCCATTTTGATCTGCCTTCATGGTAATTGAAGCTTTCCACTGTGGCATCAAGTGGAGTATTTTGCAAATGTGGGTGAAACACCCCTGTCATTATATGTTGCTATCACCTGGTAAGACCGGGACCTGGCTCACAGAGGTCTTTCTGGTTCTTGGTTAACCAATTCATAGCCACAATCTACTTGGTTTTCACTTTAGGTTTCTTGTTCTTGACCTTCACATCCTGTTGTTGTCTTGCATGACTCTCAGTGTGGTCAAGGACCACCTGTAATCAAATACACTGGATCACGTAGCTCACGGATTTGTACTTAATAACCCCAGCTGCACTGAATCAGAATCTTTGGGTGGTGGATCCAAAAGTTAACATTTTCAAAAGCTTGACCTTCTTGTACCCAATTTTGAGAATTGCTGTTTTAGGCAACTTTCTCTGTCTCTGCCTCTGTCTCAATCTCTCTGTCCCTCTGTCTCTTTCTCTCTCCTTCCTTGTTCACTCCTGATCTTTCTTTTCATTTTTCTCCCTCAGAACAAACAAATGAAATGACCCCATAAAAGTTTGTTAAATGAAAATGAATACATCTTTCAAAACAGGGTAATTGTTAATGCTTAGAATGAGTCTCTACTATGTAGAAGATTATGCTTCTTGTTCTTTTGGCCTTTGGTTGGGAACCAGAAGGAAACACACAGATTAAGGAGCCCCATGGGATAGTCTGGTACCATTTCTACTACTCCAGATGTCTTCAGAGAGATTACTTCTTTCTATATTTGATGGTAGATCAAAAGAGAGAGAGGATCTTGGACAAAGGACCTTCCAGGTACCTTTCAGATCCATTGGGTAATGGCCTACTTTATGTAAGCTTAATATCTCCTCTACTGTCACCTGAATTTCTTATGTTTGCTATTCATTGTGTTAAGCATTTCCTTCTTCACTCAGTTTTGATCTTGTAATAATAGAATACTCATTGGCTCAAAGAAGTTTCTCCTGTGACAGAAGAATTGGGCAAGAAAGACTGTGACCTGATGTTTAACTGAGAGGGGAGAAAGCAAATCTGAGGCTGGGCATGACATGAAAGCTTTTTCTAAACCTGATTTTGTTTGTGAGGGTAGATCCTTCACTGGTAATATTCAGATCAGTGTACTGTCCTCAAATCAGAGGATTAATTCTCTCATGGAATTTTATCACCACCTTCATCTCTGGGAAGAGGGTCCTGGGAAATACCAAAGACTCCATGCTTCTAACTGGAGCTTGACTCACCATGCAGGGGAATCCTGGGCACTATAACCCTCCTCTCTGGAATCACTTATCCCACACAGGAATGGGGATGATGGGAATAGGATAGAGTTACCCGGGGATGCAGGGTCAGCTTCTCTTTCTACATACTCGCCAGTCCATGCTTCTACTCATCTTCTTCCAATATGGTATGCCCAACATGGTATCCATCTTCCCATTTCTCCTCTCCAAATATTTTAGTCCACCATTCTCATCTCCATCAGTCTCAAACTTTACCTCTACCATCATATTTGCTAATGGTTTAAGCCCACCAGGATTTTTGCCTATCTGTTTTAGCTATCCCTGGTTCTACCTCTAACAATTTCAAATGTGCATGTCTTTTCTGCCTAGTTGGGAACTTTTCTGATCACAGCTTCAGGCATACAGTGTATACAGGCGGCAATAAATGGATTAAAGAGTTGGGAAGCTATGACATCTGGGACTATGGACAACTGTCCTCTATGCAGAAACTGTCTATGCTTTTTTAGGTGGCTCCAGTCTAATCTCTTTCCCAATTGACCAGGAGAACTCTGTGTATGACAGTCATCTTTTGGCTTAAATCTTTACGATTCTGGAATGTGACCTCCAGCTGCTACCCAGTCCCACACATTCCACTTTTATCTCAAAAACTTTCCATTTTGGAGGGAAAACTCTCATTTTTGTTCTCTCTCTTTGGTCCTCCTTTGAACTGCGGGTTGTTGCTCAAACTGACTCTACTTTCATACCCAGGCAGAGCCTTCTTCTGTATCCATTCTTGATAAATATTTAATATTTAGCTGGGACAGAACTTGCAAACTGTTGATGATACAGTGTTGTTAATTAGAGCAAAGCCAGTTAAGATGTTTAAGAATTGATAAATTTAAGTCATCATCTCAGAAAGTCTCAAAGCAAAAGAGAAAATGGCTTTCTCTAGAAAGTTATTCCTGTTTCTCTTTTGTACCTGGTTAGAGCCAAGACTCAAACTCCTTAGAGGTCTTGTTTTATTTTATATATATTATATATATTTATACATTATATATAAGTATATATTAAATATATACTGATATATATATATATATATATCAGGTCACTTTTCCTTTGTCTAGTCCAGAAATATGATGCATTGTACTGGTGAAAAGGGAAAAAACTTTCTTTCCTCTTTTATGTTTTCTTGGCTATAGGCTACGATAGAAGTCACTGGGTTGGTTTGTCAGATTCAGCCCCCCAAAAAACTGTACTAAAAAACAATCCCCCCACCAAAAAAAATACAAAACAAAATAAACAAACCAAGTATGTCCCAGATTTGATTCTGACAGCCCTATGGGCAGAAAAGTTTTCTAATTCTAATGCAGTAAGAATAAAAAGTGTGTTGAAGATTCCTCATTAGAAGTTTGTGGGTAAGAGCAGTCTTCATTTGTGACCTTTGTTCCAACTCGAACATAATCTCCTGCTTTCAGTTCTGGGCATAGGTGATTGATGCTGTGTCACTGGAAATGAATGCTCCTGCAGAGAAGGCAACTATTTATCTTCTACACATTTTCTTAGAAGAAGTCAACCCATTCTGGTTCATATGGCAAGGGGCCTAACACATTCAGGCCCTTCTTGGAAATCTAAGCTGTCATGGGTGTACTTCCTTATATTTATTGTTCATCTGAAGAATTTAAAAAAATGTTACTGAAGCAACTCGGACATAGAACTTCCCATTTTTTATAGGATCTGAAGCCAGGCCAGGGGATTTTAATATTTCAGTGGCTTTTGGGGTTATATTTTCTAAAGCTCTGGTCTTATTCAGGAACCTACTATCATAGATGATTATGACTAAAGAAGGAACCTTGTAAATTATGCTTACACTTGAGAAGAAAATGAGGATCAGAGACATCAGGAAATGTGTTTAAAGATCACCAAATAAGGCAAGATTTGTATCAGCTGAGAAGCCAGATCTCCAGATTTTTATATCCAGGTTCTGTGTCTGAAACACCATAAGCCCTCCTGTGCCAGGGACCTTCCTTTTCAATTGATTCTGGAGCATCTCTGCCACCACTCCAGGCTGATCTCAGAAAACGACTTTTCCTCCCATCATCAAACCAAATGCTCAGGTTAAACTTCCATGTAATCATCACCACCATGGCTGGCCTAATGTTGACTTTATCTACATTCTGGGGGCTACCTGTAAAAAGGGAAAGAAAAATTAGAAAAGGAATGAATTGTGAAGTGCTAGAGAAGTAAAAGCATGTGTTGAGAGAGTTAACAAACGAGTGTTGGAGCAGGCAAATATTCTTTGGACAATTATTTTAAAGGTTTTCTGAAGATGTTTGTGAATGAGATTGTCTGAAGCAGCTGAGAGTTGTAACCAAAGAGGAAAACAGGAAGTTGACAGCATTTAAAGATGGACCACTGGTTTCCATTTGCAGTCTTAGCCATAACTCTTTCCTGTTCACTAGTGCTTAAGTCAATGCCGCAACAATACTGGTTGGTCCGCTATTCTGGTCCTCCAACTTCTCACACTGATGCTTGGCTCACAGATGAGGGAGAATGGAAACCATTCATAGACTCAGGGAGAGACTTTCATTCTCATGTAAACTGTAGCTTTCTCTCTGCTCTGATAATGGGGTAATTATCTTATCAAAACAGACCGGAGCTGATAGAAGCAACCACCAACGGAAGATAGTGGGCATTACCTTGCACATGTTTCTGTGAACCTTGAAATGGGGCTGGTGTGTAAAAGGATAGTAACCAGTTTGAAGTAGAAGGTGAGAGCTTGGGAGATGAAGAGAAAGGAGGCTCTCTGAGTTGAGGTCAAGGGATGCTGAGAAATAGCAGCAAGTGTCTCAGGAACAAAACAAATACAGAGTTCAAAAGCAGAAGACTGAGACTTGAAGATTATCCCAAACAGCAAATGAAGAGGATCCATGTTCTGTGAATAAAATTACAGACCAGGAGCCAATGCCACAGGCCACAGAGGAATAGAGAGAATCCCAAGTCAGAACCAGGGAGTATTCAACCAAGACCACGGCAGAAATAGCTATGTAGAAGAAATTTCTCCAAAAAGTTCAAATATGTAAATATCTAGGGCCAAAACAGAAAAAGTTGTTTTTTTTTTTTTTTTTTTTTTTTTTGGTGTGTGTGTGTGGGGCTCGAATAGGTGATAAAGGCAATGGTTCCAACAGTGGGAATGGTTGCATTCTAGATCCAGGAGAGTGGAGACATGTGTGTGTGTTGTGTGGGTAGACACTGAGCAGTGGTGCAAGCTGATTACAGGGGAGCAGCATCAGGGAGCATCAGAGAAGAGCTGCTGAATGCTTTAAGAATGTACAACGCTGAGTAGCATCTCCACTGGTGCCAATTTGAGTGGTCATGGTATTTGCAATTTAT